AAAAGACTTGTGCGGCATTAGTATCGGCTGGTATGAAACTAAAACAATTTTGGAATTATCTGACCAGTTGAGCAATACTTTCAGTTATAATTGACTTTTACTTATCACACATGTCTAATATAATAAAAAAAACATAATTGGTCATGGAAATCGCCATTGAAATATCTCCAAATGTGCAACAAAATAAAAATTATCATTATTATGATAGTGTTGTATCATTGATCAAATGATTAAGAACTGTGAAAAAAAATGTTTAGTTATTTAGTCAATGAATGGAAACTGGAAAGGGAGCATATTTATATTAGATAATTAATTTTATATTTTAACGTCACAAAGGTCATTGGTTTTACAGAAGAAAGATATTAAATTTAGGTATAACAAAATATCTGATATTATTGTTATTGGTGTTTAATCTGTGAAAAGTTCGTGGTTTTTATGGAGTTAAATTATTTTTACCATTTGCTCATATTTTTTGTATTTTAATTTTTAAGTCATGCTTTTATATTGTTACCAATATTTTACAAAAATAAAGACTTTTTATTTTATTTTATAAAATGTAGTAATTTTTTTTTATTAAACTGGTATGTTCATTTTGTAATCCTATTACAACTTACACATCACGTGGAATCGGGACAAACTCTGATAGTAGAATATATTTGAAAAGTGAAAATGAATAAGTGCAAGATGAAAATAATGTTTTTAAGAACATAAAAAAAATGCTCATCGGTATTACATACAGGGTTGTATCTAGAAATTATCGCTCTATACTTTGCGACTAAATTAGAAACCATATCGCCCTCAATGTACTAACTATTTACTATACCTAATGATTTATTTATACAAGCGCTCTTAACTTGTAAAATTGCATTTGATAAACTAAAAACGTTCCTCTATTAGCTATTAGCAAAAAGCAACTGCATTAATAAAATTAATTTCCAACAAATTTGTTATCCAAAACATATTTTATTGCAAAGTGTTTTGACTTTAAATATTTACATTAACTGAGGTTTATTTATAAAAAAAACAAACAAAACCTAGAGACCTATTTTTATTTTGCAATATTGAATATTTTTGGTTGTGCGCATGTGGTGTTTATCGTGTACCTACACACATATGTCATTCGTTTTGAATAAGTATGTTTTATTTTTTTTAAAGTTGAAAACAACAACTTATGTACATCATAAAATTAATTTTAAAAAAAGAGTAGTGCATTAGTTGTATTTATAAATCTACTCGGATCTGAAGACATTCGACCATTACGTACAAGTTTCACCAGGATGTCTTCTCAGGTAAACATAATATTATGCGTTATATTTTGTTTTATACGTTTAAGTCAACCACAGTTGGATAAAAATGTAGATGTCGAAGAATTAAAAAAATTACCCGGTTTTGATGTGGTCAAGGATGTGCCCATAAGGTGGAAAAACAATCGAAACCAAACGCTCAGTTCGGTTTTGGGTTCAAAAGTCGACCAATGGAAAGACGACCCAAAGGAAAACAATGCAGTCATAACCAGAATGTACTTGACTGCTATGTGTTGTTTGTACGGTCAGAAAAACGTGACAATTATTTATAAGAGCGAAAAATTGATTAGAAAATGCAAAGAATCGGTCAGTTCCACAAATGTGTACTTTAAACCTGCGTCGACCGAACCGGTTGTCCAGTGCATCATAAACGTTCCTTGCCGTCTACAAGGGCTGAAACCTGAGGTGTTGGACATGTTAAAGACGGTATTCGAATACAGCAGGCTGTACCGAGAGGCGGTGGACAAGAATTTTCTCAACTCTTTGTTTTCCATTTACTTGTACTTGAACAATAACAGCAGCAGCGATCGAGACCGTTCGACGACGATAGACTTGCCGGTCGATCCGGCCATCTCAGTGGACGATCTGGTCGACGGCTATAACCGGATGAACTTGTACATTCTCAACTCGACAGTGGCGTTTTCCATTGGCAATTGTTCACCGTCCACATTTGACGAACCGTCTGCTGGCAAGTACACACAGTTGGCGTTTTCTGAACTCGAGTTGCATTACACGCGGGAATTCTTCGATCCGAAACGCATAATGCTGGCCGATCTTCTGGAAACCGAATTGGTTGCCGGCCAAAGCGGCACACGTCTCAAGTACTTGATTGTAACGTGGAATTATCAAGATCATGTTCAAGTGCAACACGTTTACAACCGTTTATCGGACGGGTTTTGTCCGGAGAGCATGACGAAATTCCAGACGGTCGTGTTCGAATGTATAGCTTCGGTAGTGTTCTATTTGATAACGACCATCGTTAAAACCAACATCCGCCGACCGGTCACCAACGGACAGTTCGTCGATAAAGCCAGATTAACGGCAGCCGTAGATGTTTTGGAAAGTTTTGATTTTCCCGGTCTCGGACGACTGACGCTGAGACAACTGAAATGCCAAAAATCCTACGGACCCGACAAACGCGTGGTGATGTCGCAAACGATGGATAAACACTTCAGGAACTCGGCTTCTAAGGAAAGCGACGTATGGCCTTTGATAACCGCCGGATCCATGGAAACCGGCACCGACGCCCAGAGACTTTTGGAAATATTGGAAAACTTTACCGGCGCCCTGGAAGCCTCCAGACAAAGTTTTTGTTCTGGCCGGCAACGTGGACGACCATTACAAGCACATAGATTTGGTGGAATGTTTGGAAAATATGTACAAGTCCATCGTGTCGATGGAAAGCAAAATTGTCGGTTTTCTGGCTTTTTCGTTGAACGCCGTCGATCACAATCTGACATTGAAGCCCACCAATCGAAAAGTCTTGGACTCTATTCTGGCGGCAACGCTATACTTCAACAACGATTGGATTTTTAAAGAGTTGCTCGACACCGCAGCCCCGGAAACCAAGGACATAGATGAAAGAAGACATGTGCTTTCCAAATTGGAAAACCTGAGACACCATCAGGCTTTCATCGTCAACTTGATCGAACATTACACCGTAGACAACTGTCCAATATCTTCGCCTCGGATGGAGTTTACAGAGTCGATAAACGCCAACACGGATATGCATTGCAAGAGGCTGTCGGACAAATCGGAAGTTATAAGGTGCGTCGTCAAACTGATCACACACAACTATGAAGTTTTTGCTATTCCCGAGTCGTACGATAACTGTGAAGACTTTACACTAGACAAATTGACGATGAATAACGTTTTCGAAAAGTGTGTAAATCCATTAAACGGTTTGTCCATGCTCAACTATGTCAAAGTCTCGTGGGAAGGCGAGTTGAAGAGCTTTGAAGAAATTCGCCAGTTGGTCACAAACCAAATGCATCCAAAATATCTCATCAAGTACCAATCGACTACCATAAAAGCCGTTATATTTATACTATACGAAATTATAAAAACCATCGTCCAAACTTGTGCGGGGTGCAAAAACGAAATCACTTACAGGAGTTATACAGGGGAAGTGTTGGAAGCATTGGCTGGCATATCTTGTAAACAATTCTCGCTGGACTCGTGTGTACTGTACAAATCGATCGTCCGGTTTTTCAAGCAATACCTAAGAAACGTGGACGCGGTTGATAAAAAAATAGCGCTTGTCGACCTAATCGATTCGGAACAATCTTATTTAGGACTAGTGTACGGATTTTCCGACGACAAAATCGACGATGCGATCCCAGTAATGCCGAAAAATGCACCCGAAGACAAACAATATAAAAAAAAAGTATCATTTAGCACTCAAAGTCTACAAAAATCTATTGCAGACAGCACGGAAAATGTGCTTCGAATATAATTTCAAAAATCATACGCTACATGTCGAAAAACATTTACAAACTACTGATATATTCCAACAACGTTAAAGAAGTCTCGCCTTATCTGAAAAATATTGCACTTTTACTAGATACAAGGCAAGTGTTTGACATTATCATCCAGTAAATGTAATGACATGATAATGACGTTTCTGTCATTATGCTAATGCTGTATGGAATAACTATTATTGTTATGAAAAAAAAATAATGTGATATATAATTTAAGTAAAATATTCAAGTTCAAACTAGTGTATAAATACTAAAACAACACTTGACAAAATGGTAGAACTAATAACTTTGGTCAAATTTAATTTAGGTACACAATTTTGTAACCGACCTTAAGTCTTTTTTTACTCAAAATAACCTTTTATGGACTACTTGGGGTTAGAAGAAAATAAATTATCGCCGTTTATTCGACAGAAAAATATGTAGTAGTCTAACGCCTGGAATAAAGACAACTGGCAATAAATATTACACGTGTCTGTGAATTTGCCCCCGAACGTATTTTAAGGAGTAATTATATAATACATTTTTAATATTATTATGGTGAATAAACATTATTTTAATTTAGTTCTAGAATTCAAAGGGGTTGCCTCGTCTTTAACTTCAAGGCACGTGTACATTTGTTAATAAACAAATATCTTTGTTAATAGTTCAATCAACTTACAAAAGAGTGCAAATTTAGCAAATGAGTTTGCTCAATTAATTATTAATGAGAATTTTCCCGCTCTACTAAATTGTTTTTAAACCTGTAAAAACACTAAAAAAATATTAATATTAAATATATATAAATATGATTTATACTAAGTGTAATGTTAGAGAGAAAAAGTAGAAACAATAATTTATATATTACTATACTTGAAATATAAAAACTAAAATTTTAAATTAACTAAGAATTTAAATAGATAGTAGCTTTTTTCGTTTGTTAAACATTAACAAAAATAATAATTCTGTCAAATTGGGTAATTGCATAATGATACTACCATCCACAAACCTTGTTCCTGTTGCACCACGGTTTATATTTAACTAATTATACAGGACACCAAAAATTACTAATATAATATTACTGTACTTAACACTTCACTAAACAAATAAAAATATTTTTCATACAATAAATTATTTATTGGTTAACCAAAAAATAATAAAATATAATACTCAATGTTTTATTATAATACATTTCTATTACTTTGGTAACTTATATTATCGTTAAATTATAATTATAAAAATAAAAGATAAAAATATTTTATGGCAAGCAAAATTATGAATAAAAATATGACAGTCTTTTAGAAGAAATTTGTAAAAAAATATAGTAACAAAGGCACACTGAATAAACAAAAATAAATTAAAAATAATTACTTCTCTCAAAAAATAATAAACTTCCATAAATAATTCCACATATTATTATCACGCTTGCAATAATTGCAAGTTTTCCGTTTTTTCCAAATCTTACTAAATTCCAAAACATTAGCAAAACAGTAACTGATAATGTCATCTGTAAACCATATGGAATACTAATATGATCAATAGACATATAACTCTGAAATAAAAAATAGTACAATAACATAATGTCCATATAGTTAAAATTGTTAGTAATTAAAAATTATTTGTTTTTTTAAAGCAAACAAAACAAATTTTATCAACAACTACAAATAAAACAGTTGTGTTCTTGTATTGTGGATTAACTTGAGTTTCGGTTTTCCTTCTTTTGCTGTACAATTAATAACATTAATTAATTATTTTATATGTGGTTTTGTTTGTCTGGGTTTAAATTTGGGAAAAATCTACAGTTTTTTTATACAACACATTTTAATTTTGTTTATTACTAACCATTCATGTTATTGATTTTTCAAAATTTATTAAATTATCATGTTTATATGTTATACCATTAATTTTGTTATTGTATACAATTCATATCATTTATGAAGTAATTATTCTTTTTACCTCATATTTTAAGAAAATTTGTTTTTTTAATTTTTTAGTTTGTTTTATTATTGACAGAACATGTATTATATTATTTATATTGACTGATTACCTTTAGGTAATTAATATACATACTACTCAGTTTTTTTCTTTTCTGTTTATTGATTAAATTTTGCTAAAATGTTTCAAGTATAAACGCTATGAGAGGCCCAAAATAGTTTTCTTTAACAAAAAAATTGAATTGTTTGTTATAATATTTATAAAACTATCCTTACAAAAATGTTTATGTTGTATACATTTGATTGTTTTAAAATTTTTATCAAAAAATGTAAATTTTAAGTTTTGGTCAGGTATGATATTTACTTAGGGTTGCAACATTAAAAACACATAATTTTTTTTTTAAATCAAACATACCTTTTCTTCATACCATTTGGTTGCTAAACTCCATAAAAGAATGCCAACTATGACATATTGAATAAATCTTAATTCAAACTCTGGCATTGACTTTTTTTTGGATGTATAACCATTACTGATGTTTGATTTTAAAACAGCATTTTCGTTTTCCAGAATTACAATTTTGGATAATAAATTTAATTTTGATTTAGTTTCTTTGTCAATTGTCTAATTACGTCAAACAAATAAAACCAAGATTAAAACTTCGATTCAAATCGTTTTCAACTCGATAATACTATAATAAAACTAGAAATCGACTTATTTACTACTATGTGTATATATATATAAGATGATAATAGTTTCAAAATAAATTGGTAATGAAAAGCGTAGAGGCTAATACGTAAAACATACTATTGAACATAATATTTAAAAAATTAAAACTTAAACCCTACAAGATCAAGTCCAGATTAAAAAATAAAATAAGAAATATATAATTATTATTTCTATTAAAAATGTAATTCTTCAACTATAAACAACAAAATAACATAATGGTATCACCTCTTTTAATTCTAATATCTGATTAATGTAACTCTTTTGCCTTTTCTCATACATTTGAATTACAGCTTGGTAACTGTCGACAACAGCATCCAATTTTTCATTCAACGCATTTAATTTGGATTTATAATTCTCATCTACATCCATTAACTGGCGATGATAACGCTGAAACAATGTTTGTACAGTTTCTACAAAGGTAATTGATACCGATGAATTTGTCTTGGACGCAGAAATTATTTGTTCTTTGTAATATTTCTCCACTTTATTTAAATAGATGATATGCTTATTGTTAATGCGCAATAATTCTTTTTGGTACGCATCGTGTACAGATTTGATTTCACTATCATCATCAGCAACTTCAACATTTTTTCTAAACACAAATATTAAACTCACATGAATATTATTATATAAATATGTGATATAATAGTAATTATAAATAAAAAATGTATTATTATTATATATTACAGTAGTTTCTCCTATACAATATTTACTTAACCATAAATATTTCAATTTTAAAAGCACAAACAAGCATTAAAGTAAAATGTAGAGTAATGAAAATCTTACCCATTTTCTGACGTCATGTCAAATAGTGTAATTTTTAAGATAGGTTGCACATAAAAGAAAAATAATACAATTTTTTATTTAAAATCAATATTTTCAAAGTAGCAATAAATTCTGTGGCCAGTAGGATACTGATAAAACCAATATAACAAGTAACATAAATATGAAAATATATCACATCACAAATAATGAAACACCTAAAATTATTTACAAGGTAGAAATAACATTATGTACAAATATTACAAGGAAAACTCATCGTTATCAACTAGATAAGATAATAATATAGTGTTAATTTATGTATATCTATTATTAAACAAATTATCAAGATGTCAGAATACGATCCTTTTGACTGTCTTTTATTACAAAGGTTAAATAAAATAATAAAAACGGCCAAGATATGGGCGTATTAATGAGCATAAAACTGTTAAATTGTATTACCCAAGAATCAATACATTTCCATTTAAAAGTTTGAACTCAGTTAAAATTACAATTAAGTTGAATCGTGCGAGGATTTTTCAGATTTCATTACAGAATAAATTTAATTCCAAGTGATGATCATCACTGCCGCCTATTGTAATATATATAAATACAATAACCCTGACATTTAAAGGCCTTTTGTACTAAATAATAAACCATATAAATATAGTTTTAAGATTTAAGACCCAGTATTTAGTAAATAGCCAGTGTGAAAAAGAAAAAAGAATATCAATGTCCGTACAAATCCAAACCGTTAGTTATCACATTACTTATCAGCAATTTGAAATGAGAAATCACTCAACGTTGATAGCAGCTAAACACAAATAATATATTATCTCGGTGGATTTGGGTATAGTCAAAGAGATTCTACAAAACGGTTAGCAGTTATTGGCAACCATGTTTTCAATCGTTTGCGTTACCACACTCGTAAACATGGCCGAATAGTATTTATCTTATATGATAATATAAATTATAAACTTTTTCGAATATTTCAGTTTATATTTTATAAACATTAATAGGCGTGAAATTGAAAACAATTTCGTTTTGGAAAATTTATCATACAAACGCTAGTGATTAGTAAAGGTTTTTTAGAATTTATTTTATTTTTTCAGCTTTACGGCCAATTCGATAGAACCGCGCGTAAACAACGAAACCGCACCGTTTTTAAAGGTAAGTGCTCACTATAAATTACCTCCGTGTGTCCAAACCATTATTTCCACCATAGACCCAAAACATAACGTTCACCCGGACATAATATTATACCCAACCGTATTTGAACCGAAATTCAAATTGGCGCTTTGCGGTTTGTACAATGACCTGGTTCGGTTGGACATGATCTTTGGTTCTGTTTACAAGCAAGGTAGAACAACATAATGTTACCATTGCGAGCAACTGTGGTAATACAGCCAATGCAGCTACAGCTAACCAATACCCAATCTGTAATATTTCTAGAACCTAAACACGTTCGTAGGTATTACCATTTTCATTAAAATATTTAAAAACTAAATATTTTATTACCCCTTACAGCCGTATAATATATTCTAGAATATTTTTTTTTGAAATACAGCCTATATTGCCTACATTTTCGTTTTTATGAAGTTCCACAAACATTTTGAAAATACTAATGATTATTGCTGGAAAATAATTTTAATCCGTTCATTTAGTACTTGATAATTTCATTTGACCAATTGCTGTTGTAACCGTCAAAGCTCAAAGGTCCTGACATCCTACGATGTTGCCTTATTGCTGCAATCTATGATTAATTAATAGTAACACAAAGATCACTGGAAATAAATACATATTTATGGTTTCTATAAAAAAGTAACATGGGACATTAACTTGTTTTATTACAATTTAACCCAAATATTGTTAAATTTAAAACAAATTTTATAATGATTAGTAGTCTATTTACTATGTTTATATAAAGCGAATTTAAATAGTTTTATAGATCTGATTTTACCCATGTTTGAATCGCTCAATATTGGCCCGTTACCCGAGCGATAAACGATAAAACGATTTGTGCCTTGAAATATTTCAAAACTATTTAAAACCGTTTTTAGTTTTACAACGTTTTAGTCTCTTTGTAAAATAAACGTAGGAATTAATTACATTGCAATATTTAACTAAAGTTTTTATTTTTAATAGTATATAAATGTTAATAAATAGAAGAAAAGATTATAAGTATTAGTTCTAAGTAGAAAATGACAAAATTGACATATATTATATATTTCAATCGCAAAACATCTCGCATTGATTGTACTATCATACTATCTACTTATTTTGTTACAATAAGAATTAAGAAATACTAAATAAAGGTATTATGTTTGCAAATTTAAATAATTTAGATTAAGCTATAAATTACTATAAATGCGTTTTTTAGTTCTAATAAATTACTGCCCAATTTTATGATACATCTGGAAATTTACAATATAACCTTGTTTAATAAGGAATGTCGTTGATATCTTCAAATGATCAACCCTAGGTACTGTACAAAGTCACTTTTTTATCATTTCTGTATAAACTGACAATGTTGCACTCCTTATTTTTTTTAAGATTTATTATACTTTTAAATAATTTCTTTTAGAATCAATTAACGAATTTTAGTTTTGCAATCTAACATTTTCTTTAAACTAAATTTAAAGTTAACATAATGCCTTTGTACTAATGATTTAAATGTATCAAAAATGAACTTGTTAAAATAACAATTAATAGTAGAAGTGTAAACAATGTAATAAAAATATAACAAACCATATAACCGACACATAATAAAAGAAGCGTTTATATTTGTAACACAAGTTACAAAAATGTAAAAATATTAAAATTATATTTATAGCACCAGACTAGATTTTTGTTATGAATTACTTATAAATTGTAAGGTTAGAATTTAACAAAATCTCTGACTGTTAAAAAATTTGTTGGTAATGTGTAATATAAAGAATACTAATTTTTTAAAACAAGGTTTTTACTTTGGGAACAAAAAAAACAAACTTTATATGTTATACAATTTTAATATTTCACAGAGCATGTTAAAAAAAAATGTTTAATAATGTTTTGTTTAAAATCTTTAACATTTTCTAATTTAAGTTTAATTTAATATTTATTATGATCAATATTCATATTTTAATAGAATATATAACTGTTACCGATATTTTCGGTTAATATTGCTATAATCTTACCACCCTAAGTGGATATTATAAAATACAAATATTTTGTTCAAATTCATAATAAAAAATTTTAAATGTAGATGTTACTTAAAAATAAAATTGACTCGATGCTCTTAAATATCAATGTACTTATTTTATGGTATACAACATTAAGGCGTAATGCATTATGTTACAATGGCAGTGGTCTAATTCTTGGCTTCTAAAAATGCCTTTTGGCTACTTATACGCATTAATATATTGACGCTTATAAGGTAAAAAGTTGTTAACTAAATTTTTTTAATCTTACAGGAGAGCTAAAATAAAAATACAGTACTTTCTCTATTCTCTTCTGTTAGGAAAATTACTTCAAGTTCTAATTTTTATATTAATCCATCTATTTATCATAATATATTATATTATTATCATTGTTTGCGCTTAACAACAGTTTTTTATTACTTACAATATCTTCATACCTGTTAATTAATAGCATTTCCACTAAATATTTACATGTAAAATAATCGTAACAATATGGGAGTTGGCTAAATCAATAGAGAATCGTAGCGTTGACGCCAATTTATTAAAAACACTTTTTCGACAAAAATATCATTTACTATTTTCTTTCTCATATGTTATATAAATTTAGAAAATAGATCAATGCGCTTAAAAAATTATATTTCTCCAAAATTAAATTTGTTACAAACATAATATGTTTCAAACGGTAAGAAAATGAGCATTTAGTTTTACACCAACATAAAAAATATACCTTAAAACATAACATTGGAAAAATATATCAAAAATTAAATTAAAACTTAAAAACAAATTAGAGCATATGACAATTGTTACTATAAAATATATTATCTAGCTTTTTTTTAAACAAATAAAAATTTGAGTATAGCTTATTTTAATAAAGTGGTATATTTTTCAATTTATCAGACTGCAGTCATAATTATAAAAACCTAGGCTTAAATAGTTATGTAATTATATAATGTGAAGTAGAGATCTGACAACTGACAACAGATAAATTATAGACTAGATTGGGGAAAAAAATTAGATCACATTTTGGGTTATGCAGTTAGTATACTGTATATTTTAATATATTTGGTCTCTTGTGCCGACTCAATAATAAATAAAATTGCTTTTTTTTTAATTTCATAAGACTCCTTTTGATTAAATCACTGGTCACTGGGTGACCTGTTAAATCAAGTCAACTAACTACATGTAAATTATTGTATTTGTAATAGTTTTATTTTTACCAAAAATCTGCATTGTAATATAAATTAAATAACAATTTGGAAAAACGTATCCCAAACAATTTGAAAAAAAAATTAATTTTTAAATTGGTTTTAAAATTAAAAAACAAATAAATCTGTTTTAGTTTAAAACAATTGTGGTTCAAGTCGTTCGAGACTCCCATTTTATAGTATAAAACAAATTTAAGTAACCTAAATGAAATATATATGTTTAATAAATTAAAAATATCTTGATGCTAACTGAACTTTGTAGTAGGGATATTGTATTTGCAACTTTTTTGACAGTTTAAAACAAGGTTATAATTGAAATGTAGTTTGTTTTTCATAAAATTACTTGACTGCCAGTTTAAAAACTTTAAACTGTCTAGACAGTTAAGCAAATAAAAAATACTTTTCTTATCGACAGCTTGACTGCACTGTATATTTAGTAATTGAACTGCCGTTTTAATTTATAAATAATATAAATATGTCAACATTATAACATATTTATCTGAATTGTGTATATAATTAAAAGCAATATAATAAATTATTGTTTTTAATTTTAATTGTAATGTATGCTTAAATAAACAAGTGTGTTGTGTAATTGTGTTTCAGTTTCGAACCCGTTTGCCATTGGATTTGGAATATTTTAGATTTGATCATGATTTATATTAGCCTAATCGCTGTTGTGTAGTTGGCACATAACTGTAAAGATAGCAGCACGTATTACAGGATTCAACACTACAGTCGACCGTGAGTATTCGATATAATGCGACAGAATACAAAGCCAGCAGCATTATTGCTGCATTTAGTATTGCATCGATAGATTTTTTTTTTCGTACTCGGATATTTTATTCTTTTGGTTCTACAATAATATTAGTTAATAGGAATGAGGTGCAACGGCGACTGGTTTTTTTTCCAAAATTACAGCTTAGGTACGGGCATAACACACGGGTTTACATGTCATGTGTGTGTGAAGTTAAAAAAAAAATTCTCCCTACCGATTTTCGTATTATCATTTATTATTATTTTTTTTTTTTGCTGTCGTGCAGAGAACCCTTCGACCCAAAGACGGTGTATCGTCGTTTCGGATTCCTCGGCCAACGTTGTCAGCGTTAAGAAAGGTCATGGTAAACGCTCTTCCACCCCCCATCCTCTTAACCGGGCACACCCTTCTTTGCCCTTTACCTGTGCGTGTACAGCCCCTCGACGTGCGGTACAATAACCCCGTGGGTCACACTCTACATTGTGCTGTAATACACACAACCGTAGGCCCATTGTTACTTGGGCATGTCGAATTTTTTCCAACGGTTCCCGTCGACACACAGCCTGTATGTATTACTTGGAAATATTAAATTTTTATATTAG